ATATCAAGGGTATGTGTTATCAACTGGACTTACCACTGATGAGGTTAACCATGACCACCTGGCTAAGGAAGTGTTTACCAGACTTCTCTACAGCAAAGTTCCTTTCTTGTTCCCCCATTTCCATACTGTACTCTTTGGAAGAAAGTTACTAAGCATAGCACACACTTACGAGATGGGGAGTTATGCTTCACTCCTTGAGTGGGGAGCATTTGCATAAATTATTTGGAATTCTGCTATTGTCCTTGCAATTTTGCATGCATTCTCTCATATGAAAGGCAGGTTTCATAGATTCCAACCAGAGTTCCACGGCCTTTTCCCAATTCCCCTTAGAGAATCTGAAATGCAGGACAAATCATCTGAAGAAACAATTCTCTGAAGAGTTTTCATTAACAGAAAATGCTATAGGACAGAGCTATTCACAGCATGGACTGGTGTGGTCCACATCTGCTTCTAGATCTATAATAATGTAAATATCGATATTGAAAGTGACATTCAGAAACTGCGTAGCAATTTGACAGAGTAATCTTATGTGTGTTGAATGTAACAATAAAGATGCCTTTATTATTATTTTCCCAGTAATTCACTTGTTTTGTCCTTTATACAAGTATTGGTCCAGGACGAACTGGGGGGGAAATGGTCTTCAGCACAGAGTGGACCCCACTGGGTGTGGCCTAACACAGTCTCTGATGTTCTGGGCTGCTCCCTTCTCCACACCCGCTCTGCATGTACCCCTCACTCCCAGACGTCAGAGTGAAGCCCGGACCCACCAATGGGCTCCTGTCTGGGCCTCTTCCCACTGAGCTTATGACAGTGACCTTCCCTACAGGGCATACTGTTCTTACCTCCCCCCGTCCCCCCGGCAGGACAGCCCTTCTGTGGTGCCCCCAGGGGCAGCATCTCTGGCTGCTCTGAGCCTGTCTGTGGTCAGCTCCGTGGGCAGCCACAGCCAGCCCTGCCTGGGAAAGAGCCAGCCCTGCTCTCACCATGCTCTGGGCATCCAGCCCTTTCCATGAGTGAAGCCCTTTCAATTCCTTTTGCTCATGGTCAGGCACATGCAGGGGGCAGCAGAGGGCAGCAGGAGGGGGACAGGAGTCTCCAATCCAGAAAGGACTTCCAATGTAGACTTTTACTAATCTCTCCAAATGAGGTCATTCATATAGTCATGTGACTGAAAGGAGTCCATGACCAGGCCATCCCGCCAGGGCTTAATTTAAAATGATAAATACAGATGGCCGACAGGCACATGAAAAGATGCTCAACATCACTAATTATTAGAGGAATGTAAATCAAAACTACAATGAAGTACCACCACACACCGGTCAGAATGGCCATCATTAAAAAGTCTACAAACAGGCTTCCCTGGGGGCGCAGTGTTTAAGAATCTGCCTGCCAATGCAGGGGACACGGGTTTGAGCCCTGGTCTGGGAAGATCCCACATGCCGCGGAGCAACTAAGCCCATGCGCCACAACTACTGAGACTGTACTCTAGAGCCTGCGAGCCACAACTACTGAGCCCGCGTGCCACAACTGCTGAAGCCCGTACACCTAGAGCCTGTGCTCCACAACAAGAGAAGCCACCGCAATGAGAAGCCCATGCACCGCAATGAAGAGTAGCCACCGCTCGCCACAACTAGAGAAAGCCCGCATGCAGCAGCGAAGACCCAACACAGCCAAAAATAAAAATAAAATAAAATAAAATAAATAAATTAATTTTTTTAAAAAAAGTCTACAAACAGCAAATTCTGGAGAGGGTGTGGAGAAAAGGGAACCTTCTTACACTGTTGGTGGGGATGTAAATTGGTGGAACCACTATGGAGAACAGTATGGAGGTTCCTCAAAAAAACTAAAAATAGAGCTACCATATGATCCTGCAATTCTACTCCTGGGCATAAACCCAGACAAAACTATAATTCGAAAAGATACATGTACCCCTATGTTCACTGCAGCACTATTTACAATAGCCACACATGGAAACAACCTAAATGTCCATCAACAGATGAATGGATAAAGAAGAGGTGGCATATATATACAATGGAATACTATTCAGCCATAAAATATAAAGAAATAATGCCATTCGCAGCAACATGGATGGACCTAGAGATTATCATAGTGAGTGAAGTCAGAAAGAGTAAAACAAAAAGTACGTCACAAATACCATGATATCACCTATATGTGGAATCTAAAATATGACACAAATGAACTTATTTATGAAACAGAAACAGACTCACAGACATAGAAAACAAGGGAGAGGAGGAGTAGGGGAGGGATGGATTGGGAGTTTGGGATTAGCAGATGCAAACTATTATATATATATGTAGAGCTGAATCACTATGCTGTACACCAGAAACTAACACAACATTGTAAATCAACTATACTTCGATAAAATAAATTTTTAAAAAATGATGAATATATCTTTTATGTTGATCGTTATTACACTAAATATAGAAGAACACAGAATCTACGTATTTCAAGAAAACTAATTTATGTAAAAACACGCAGTCACATTCAAATATTTGATATATCCCTGGTGGTCTAGTGACTAGGATTTGGCACTTTCAAATGTGAAATAAAAATATTCAAATATGAATAAAAATGGCTTTTTAAATTGTTGAACTGGGCTTTAGTTGAAAAAAAAATCTTTTCAATATCTAGTGGATAACCTGATACTACAGTGTATTCTGTGTTAATATATACGACAGTTTAAATGGCAATTTGTATAATCCTATTCTGGCATTATTTTCACTTTCTAATCTACTAAGAGCCTCAAAAAATCCATTGGCCAGGCCACATATGGGTGCCCCACAAGCCCTGGGGGACACGGGTTTGTGCCCCATTCCAGGAGGATCCCACATGCCGCGGAGCGGCTGGGCCCGTGAGCCATGGCCGCTGAGCCTGCACGTCTGGAGCCTGTGCTCTGCAACGGGAGAGGCCACAACAGTGAGAGGCCCACGTACCACAAAAAAAAAAAGAAACACCAAGAGAGCTGCTTTCTCTCTTTGCCATATAAAAGGACACAGCGAGAGGGTGGCCTTCTGTAAGCCAGGAAGAGAGACCTCACCAGAAACCGACCATGCTGGCACCCTAATCTTGGACTTCCAGCCTCCAAAACTGTGACAAAATAAATTTCTGTTGTTTAAGCTGCCCAGTCTGTGGTACTTTGTTATGGTGGCCCAAGCCAAGTAATAAAGTAGGTACTCAATATATATCCCTTGACTGAATAAATAAACAATACATAAACCCGGAGTGGACAAACCACTTACACAGGATTCATTCTTTGCAAGGATCCCTCTTTGCTCCAACCCCCTTTGATTTCTAGTCTTTGACAAAAACCTTAGACCTTCACAGGCCAGCGAGACAAAATCAATGGCAGTTTGGGTTCTTTGGGTCTGTTTCTTAGCACAGGAGTGGCAAATAGGGTGCCACCTAGAAAAGGCACCTAGAATTACTTGGAGGTGGGCTCATCCAGCACTGAGCTGATATGGATTCTGAAGCCCCTTCTGGATTCAGTGCAAGGAGTCCTGTGATTGATTAGCAATGCCTGTCACGGCTGTGGGTGGGGTGAGTGGAGGCATCTGGGCCAATCCTGACTCAGAAGCTGCAAGGCAAGAGCCTAGCCATGGGGTATGGGAGTCAGGCCAAGACTCTGCTGTGCAGAGCTAAGGGCAAGGACTCGGGCCCTGAGGAAGGGACCCAGGGCTAGCCTGTGGGGGTCACAAGGAGCAAGACCAGTGCCCAGTAGAGCCCAAATCCTTGACTGAGCAGGGTAACTGCTGACCAGGCTCCATATTCCCTCTGCCTCAGGCCCCAGCTGGGAAGCATTATCCAACAGAGGTGGGTGAGGGAACAGGGGCCCTGTGGCCTCAGGGACAGGTGCACTGCAGTTCACCGCAGCCAAAGCTGCTGGGGAAATGAGGATAGAGGTGGGAGGAGCATATAGGGCAGGATGTGCTGGGTGACAGGAACTCCAGAAACAAAGGCTTACAGGCAGGGAAAACACATCAGATGCCTGACCTACTGGAGCAGAGGGATTGGGCTGGGGAGAAAAGGCAAGCAGAGGGGGTCAGAGCAAGTCACACAACCGAGCTCCTTGAACGTTAGCAGCCTAGCAGAGAGATGAAACACCACAGCTTGTGGAACTGGATGGCGGGGATTCTGCCTCTTCCTCTTCCCAGCTGTGCCACTTTAGGCAAGTTACTTAACCTCTCTGGGACTCTGGTTCCTCAACTGGGGATAATAATAGTATCTGACTCACAGGGTTGTTGTAGAGACTGAGTTACAAAGTATGAAGCACTGAGAACAGTGCACTGACACACAGTGCTCTGTTACATTTGCAAGTGTTACAGTTATGTAGAGTAAAGCAGTCTGAACATTAACCAATATTTCCCCAGTTGTTTTCCATGGAATCCTCAACTAAGAGATGCTTGTATCAACAAGATTCTTATAGCCAACTTTGAAAAATGTCTCCTATTATACCCACGTCAAACGGATGAGTCCACAGTAAACAAACAAACAATAAACCCCTAACTTTCTTTAGCTTAGTGTTTCCCAAACGCAGTGGATCATGGAAACTTCTGCATACCTTGTGGGACAGTGTTCCACAGGACACCAGTGTGGGACGTGCTACGGAGGAAGGCCGTGGGGAGTCTCTGGACGTAGAGGAAGGGGTCTCCAGGAGAAGCTGCCTGGCAGGGGCTAAACCACAGCAAGATTCCAGCGCCTAGAGAGAAGGGGGAAGGAATCAGCTGAAATGCCAGGGCTGAGGGCCCTGGAGCAGAAGGGAAGGGTAAATGGGGGAGACCCAGGGCAGAGGGTATAGGGAAGAGCAGGGAGCTGTTTGGATATAGAGAGGAGAGAAGAGGCAGAGGTGACCCTGAGAATTCACACTTGGGGAGGTAGGAAATGGGAGAGCAGAAAGGTGGGGACGAGTGGGGGGGCAACCCTCATTTACTTACGTACTCACTCTGCCCACTCACCTTGTCACCCTTCCCAGTTTATGACTGAGGTGGGTCTAAGCCCTGCGGCTTCCCCAAGGGGGTGTGCCTGGAGAGAGAGAGATGGGGACAGCTGCTTCCTGGGGAAGAAGAGACTCCAGAAGGCATAGAGATGTTCTGTCCCCGCTATGCACAGATCGTGTGATTATAAAATCAACAGCAGTTGTCCAGGGCCTCTAGGGTGAACTCCGTGTCCGTGCTGAAAAGAAGCAAAGGCTGCAGTCTGAGCTCTAGGCCTGGCTCTGCTAGCCACTAAAGGCTGTGCAACTTTGGGGAAGTTGCTCCATGTCTCTGGTCCAAACTTCATCTCTAAGTTTGGTCCTCAAGCCCCACTTCCTCCTCCCTTGGTCACATCAGCCACAGCCATGACATTTCTATCCCTTGCCCTGGTGCCAAAGGCCTCCGCCGGGAAATCGGGCCTCCTGCACCCCATCACTGTCAGGGCCCCTCCGCCCCACGGCCCAGGTTCTCACCTCTGGAAGGCCTGGCGGCAGCACTGGTACACCTCAAAACTGCTGCTGCTGAGGGTCGTGTTCAGGAAGGACACACAGTCGACCTCAGCCCCCCAGGCATGTACAGGATCCCTGTGCAGGGAAAGCAGCTGGTGGGCAGGGCCCAGCCCCTCACTACCCTCCAACCTCACCCAAGGACTTCCAGAGAGGCCAGAGCCCCAGTGCCTGGCCCTGGACCAGGGCCAGCTGGAGAATCAGGGCTCTGAGCCCTGAGCCCACCAGGCCTGCACTCACCTGCCACGCAGGCATTCACCAGAGACACACAGGCCCCCGTGCAGAGCACCCGGAGCATGATCTGGGAGAAGTTGCTCTTCTGCTGGGGGGCCATGGAGGCTGCAAGGGGACAGGAGTGCTCAGGGCCAGGACTCAGCATGCCCCTCTGCCTGTATCTGTGCCTCCGGCTGCATCTGCTGGCACCCCTTTCTCTTCTGGGTGGCCAGAGGGACAGACGCTGTCCTCCTGATGCTTTTGAGTTTGGGAGTCCTCCTTGGCCTGAGTCGGGCCCCTAGGTAGCACTCCACGGCCCCCCCACATGCCATCAGTGGCAACTGTAGGAAGAGAACGTGAGTTTGGAGTCAGGCAGACCTGGGATTAAACACAGGTTCAGCCACTTATTAGCTGAGTGACCTGGGCCATCATTCACTTTTGCAAGACTCAGCAAAACGGGGTGGTTACACCACCAGGCAGGGAACTGCAGGGGGTGGAAATGTTTTTTGTAAAGAGCTGAGAGCTGTGCAGAGCCTTCTCCCCTAGGCCCCTCCAGGCCCGCCTGTCCCTTGTGGGTACGGGAGCTAAAGCCTCGGAGGGCAGGTCACCACCACACCTCCCGACCCTCCCCAGAGCCCTGAGCCAGGCTTGGCCTACAAGGCCAAGGTGCTAACCTCCTGGGCTACCCCAGCAGCAGAGAAATCATGAAATGCCAGGGCTGGGAGGAAGCTCCACGGCCGCCTTGTTCAGGCTCTGCCTTAGACTAATGGGAGAACTGAGACCTACAGATCCCCAAGAAATATCTCAGAGCCAGGACTAGTGTCCATCCCCGACTCTCCAGGATACCGAGAGGCCCCTATAGGACTCACTCAGGCCTCCCAGCATGATCCCAATGGTGCTGAAGTTGGCAAATCCACAGAGGGCAAACGTCGTATTTCTGCTCTGACCTGAGAAGACAGAAGATGAGCGGGGAGGGGCTTTCCTCAGATGGGACGGGAGTTTGCTCAAACCACCCCGTACCCTGGCCTTAATTTCACCCACTGCCTATGTGCCTTTGACCTTTGAAGCACTCGGTGCCGCCCTTTCCCAGCCATGCACACCTACCTCTAAGTCAACTCAAGCTGCACAACCTCACAAACACAGCCCCCTCCTCATCTGCCCTTGAATCTCCTTAATTACCAGCCTTTCTGGGTATGATTCAGGCTGGCCCAGTCCTCTCACTTTGGCCCTACTAAGCTCTGTACCCAGGAGCAGTGGGCGAACGGCCCTTCCCGACATGCTGCAGCCCCGCACCTTTGTTTACGGAGAATGTGCTCAGGCTGAGGTCCTTTGAGGTGCTGTCATGCCCAAAGAGCAGGATGGTGGCCCAGTGAAGAGAGGGAGGGATTCAGAGCCCAGTCGGCTTGGGTTCCAGGCTTGCCATGGCCTATTTCAGGTTGAGCAAGTCGATAGCCTCCTAAGTTTTAGTTTCTCCATCAGGAATGTGGGAGTAATAGTAGCTGCCTGGAAAGACTGTCATAAAGATCATCTAATGTACAGGAAGTACCAGGCACAGGGGAGGGATTTAAGCAAGGTAATTCTCCTTCCCTTTTGCTCTGAACGGTTGTGTAATTTCTTAGAAGTGTTAAGAGCCAAAATGGAACAATTTGGAAAAAAAGATTGGCTTAGACCCATACCTCACACCATATAAAAAATTAATTCTAAATCACTGAAGCAGATTAATGTTTTAAGCATCAAATAATAGAAAAAATATAGAATAATTATTATTGTTACAAAATAATATTATTACTCTCATTTTGGAGAGGAGCAAACTGAGGCTCACAGAAGTGACTGAGGAAGTTCACACAGCAAAAATGCAGCTGTGTCAGAATTTGAACTCAGTTTTGTCTGACTCCAAAGCTCATGATTTTAACTACTTCACCATATTGTTTCAGGAATTTAACCCTTGCCAGATTTTTGGAATGGAGATAACTTTCTAAATTTAGATATTACAGAAGAAATGCAAAGATTTGGTGTAAATTTTGTGTTTAAAAAAGTCCCTGAATACAGAATGAAGGGGAGAAAAAAAGACGAGGAAAAATATATGTAGAAAATGTAACAGAAAAGGGTTAATATCTTTGTAACACACAGAGTTTATACAAATTGATGAAAAAAAAATTAAGGTACCTGCATTCTGCTTACTCACCTACAATCACCCTCCCAAGCCGCTCAAGTAATCTTAAAATGTCAAAAGTCAAATCTTCAGTAACTTCCTACTGCTCCTCGGCCTGTGTCACTCTTTTTTACAATTACCACCTGTTCTAACCTCACTGCTCTCCTCTCAGTTCTCCAAACAAGTGATTTTCAACCTCAAGGCCTTTGCATGTGCCTCTTTCTTTGCCTGGAATGCTCTTCCCAATTTCTCCTGGCCCCTCCTCCTCCCTGCAAGTCTTGGCCTAATAACCACATCTCAGAGAGGCCTTTTCTGACCAGCCCAGTCAAGGAAGACCCCCTCCCTGTTTCCTCTTATTGTTTCCATCAGAGAACTTACCACAAATTGTGGTTTTAAGATTTTTTATTCCTTTGCTTTCTTGCGTTTTGCTCGTGTCTTTCACTAGGTGTAAGTTCCATGTCGCCAGGGACCATGTCTGTCGAATTCCCCTTTTTATCCCTGGTACCCAGCAGAGGGCCTGGCACTTCAGAGGTCTCAACAAATACTTGCTGAAGGAATGAAGTTCATTTAAAAAGATCCCGAAGGCACATACCACCCACTATCTCTAGAGAAGGGAGTGATACTGGAGCTGAAAATGAGGAGTGAGGGGAAACCTGGGCTTTTTACTCCATACAAACTTTTTTTTTTTTAAACTAAAGAGTACATTCCTTTACAGTTAAAAAAATAATTTAAAAGGCAAGAAAAAAATTTTTTATTAAAAGTTCCTAGTAACCCAGTAACAAATGAAAACAATGAACCATTATTTGTCCCTTAACGTATCAAAACTTTTTTTTAAGAGGCTACTCAGCCCTGTTCAGTGTGTGGTAAAATCAATGCTCACAGGCACAGCTGGGGTGGTTTCAGTTGTTACAACCCCTTGGGAAAGATACTGGCAGCAACCGCACGAGGATCCGTGCCATGTGATTCAGTCATCCCACATCTGGGAAAGCTCCTGAGGATGCTCGGAGAGGAGGGAGAAGTCCTGTGCAAAAAGCTATTCATTTCAGCGTTGTGTATAGTAGCCAAATAATGGAATTATATATTATATTGTTATATTTATTATAATATAATTAATTATAATTATATTATATATTATAATAGCTGTAATTTTGGGATGATAAGATGATGGGTAATTTTGTCATTCTCAATCATGTTACATACAGCTGTTATTATTTTAGAGAGTTTCATTTTAGAAAGCTTTTATAGTTTTTTTCTTTTTTTTAATGTCTTAACAGGGACTTCCCTGGTGGTCCAGTGGCTAAGACTCCGCACTCCCAATGCAGGGGGCCCAGTTTGATCCCTGGTCCGGGAACTAGATCCCACATGCCTCAACTAAGACTTTGCATGCTAATTCGCATGCCGCAACTAAAAGATCCCACATGCTGCAACTAAAGAAAAAGATTCCGCGTGCTGCAACTAAATAAATAAATAGATAGATAGATAAACAAATAAGTCTTAACAGAAGAAACCAACCCCTGAACTGAATCCAATATATTGAAGATGAATGTGGTGGTGAGGTCTCCCCGTTTTACTCTCTTAGCTCATTAGATGCTCCCATCCATTCCTTCGGGGTAGGTGTGGCAGGTTCTACACTTGTTTTCCAACAGAAGAGGCAAGGTGCAGCAGCTGGCCCAGGGCCGCACAGGATGGTGGCCTGTCTACAGCTGGAGCTCAGATACCTCCAACGGGGCTCTTTCTCAACCTCAGCCTCCTAAGAGGCCTTGAGAAAGATGGCCTCTGAAGCTGTCTTGTTGCCCAGGGCAATGGGATGTGGGAGGTTGAGCAGCCCCTCAGTGTGTCTCAGCCGGGCCCACAGGGGAGCCGCTGCATCACGCCCTGCCCCAGGGAGGGGACAGGGACACTCACAGAGATCCACTGCTTCCTGGAACCGGCCCACTCCTCGGCGCCCGTCGTTCAGAAACAGCTTCATTCCCAGCAGCTCAGCCACCACCGGGCAGCCCTCCCAGGCCACTCCCATCAAGAAGGCCACTGACCACAGGATGTAGGAGCAGATGAGCCTAGGCATGAGGCAAGAGGAGTGGCTGGGACTGGGGTTGGCCTGGGATCTGTGGGTGTCCACCCACCATCACCCACCGACCAGGACCACCACCTCCACAGGCTGCGTGGGTGGCCGGAACTGTACCTGGAAGCTGAGCCCCTGGACGTCCATCACGTCTCCCAGCCAGGAGAGGGCAGCATTGATGAAGTCCAGCACAGCCAGGAAAGCAATCAGGTTGGCTGCGATGTTGGTCACGACCCTCACGGACATCGCAGCCCCACTGCTAGCTGCTTCTAAGAGGTTTTGAGCATCTCTGTTGATGGGATCAAGAGCCATCATTATTGGCCTATCTCCACAAACAGCAGGGCTCCCCACCCTACAGCTCAAAGAGGAACCTTGGACAGAGCATTTCAGAGCCAGTGGTCCTTGTTTTCCCTCTGAGGCCAGAGAGAGAAAGAGGCTGGCCCAAGCACTAGGATAAGACCCAGACTCCTAGCACAGATGCTGTCCGAGACAGAAACCACTAGCCACGTGTGACTTTTGAGCACTTGAAAGGAGGCTGATCTGAATTGAAATGTGTTGCAAATATACACACCAGATTTCAGAGATTGAGTCCAAAAAAAAAGAAAGAATATGAAATACCTTATTAATAATTTTTATATTGATTACTTGTTAAAATGACAATACTTAGGATATATTTAGTTAAATAAAACATTTTATTAAAATCACCTGCTTCGGTTTTACTTTTTAAAAGATGACTACTAGAAGATTTTAATTATAGATGTCTCATATTTCTCTAGGGCAGTTCTGCTCTAGACCTTCAGGAAGTTGTGCAGTTGGGGATGCCCGTTGTATCCACAAGCACATTTGTCAAAAGTCGTGTCTTTCAACATTTTTTAAGAATTAAATGTTACACAAAGGTTGCTAAGACTATGATAAAGAGATGTTAGGAGGTGAGAGAAATCAAGGACAGTGCTCAACACGTCAATGCGATTGACACTGAGGATCAGACCTCAAGGCATGTAGAGAAAGTGGTGTGGAACCTTTTAACGACGCTCCTCAACACACACACACACACACACACACCAGGCACATCCCCAAGAACCAGGTCACTTGCCCATGCCTTGACTAGTCCATGTTTCCTGCTGGTCAGAGACTGGAAAATAAGAAGCAAGAACTGGAGTCTATATCTTCACAAGTGAAGCTGCGACCAGGGCAGTGAGAGAGAGAGGAAGTGGGCTGCGTTTGGTGAAAGACAGAGATGGGCAGAGAAAATAGGACCTGCTGCTGCCCCCACCTCTGCTCCTGTCTCTGCCCCTCCCCCCCCACTCCCCTCTCTGCAGACCCTCCTGCTGTGCTCACCTGTAGGTCAGTTTCACTCCTTCCTCACCCCTGAACTTGGACTCCTCCACCTCCGTGTAGAGGGCTAAGGCACAAGGGGCAGCCTTCACAGAGGCAGCAATTAAGGAGGCAGCATCGATCTGCAAGAGTGAGAATCAGGGTTATAAAGAGATGTCAGGAAATGTGGAGGTCAAGAAGTGTGGCCCAGGGCAGCAGGGGGACATGGTACTCTACCCTGCTGGTATATCACCATCATCGGTACTGCTGTCACTGTCACTGATAATAGTAATACATTTTACGTGTAGAGGGTTACAGGCTGTATGCACAGAACCTTCTATTCCCACACCTCCTCCAGGACTCCAGGAAGTTAGGCAGGGCAAGTACTGTTATCTCACTTGACAGACAAGGAAACTGAGGCCCCAAAGGGTTAAATATGACTTGCCCAAAATAAAGGAAGGGAAGGAATTAGACCCGTTGTGTCTTTCGGCTCCAAGTTCAAGGTTCTTCCTCCCTTTCTAGGCTGTCTCTCTTTGACCACTGATCTGAGGGCTGGTTCATCATTGGCTGAGGGGTTTGTGATGGTTTCAGACAAAGCTCACAGAACCTGAGAGTTGGAATGGATCCAAGATGTGACCTAACTTGACCTCATAGTAAAGGAAAGCCTTCCCTCTAGAGGATCCTTCCTGTCACTTACTGTGGCAGGGAACTCACCACCTCAAGGCAGCCCATCACCTCTACTCCTGTGGTCAGAGAGCTGTTTCTAAGGAAATCTGCCCCTACAACATACAACACCCACCCTTTGACCCTGGGTCGGTCTCCTGGAGCCACGCTATAGAAGCCCTCACAGCAAGATGATGGAGCTGCCAGACCCCCGGGATTCTCCCTTCCTGAATTTTCATCCTCACTGTGGTCCCAAACCCTCTGCTTCCCTGTTCTCTTCACAGAGATGGAACACTTTTTCACCACTGTGTTATTTACCAAATGGGAGAATTAGAACCAACCCAAACATCTGACAATGGGGGGATGGCTATGCATTGTCAAGCTGCCATCAAAAACAATGGTTACCAAGGCTTCACAATACTGTGGAGAAATGCCTGCATACTTGCATATAGAGCATACCCACAATGATAGGGAAAAAAACAAACTCCACAACTATGCATAAAAAGAAGATCAGAAAGAAATACACTGAAATGTCAACCAGCTGTCTGTCCCTGGCTAGCGGGGCCAGAGTGATTTTCTTTTCTTTCAGCTTTTCTGTATATCTCTAAATGTCCACATGATATATACTGTCTTTATAAGCAGAAAAGTAAAATAGACTTCTTCTTAAAGTTTGTAATAGATCAACTGCAGTTTTAAAATTTTAAATAAAAAGGAACAAAAGGAGGGGAGGTAAGTTTAAGCTACATGTTCAGGCGAATAAAGCAGACGGCCAAAGAAGCCCATGGAAGTACCAGGAACTACTGATGAGGAACCAGGCCTCAGAGACCCTCTGAGGCTCTGAAAGCCTTGTAATATCCTCCTCCTTCTTCTTTTAAAGCCCCTTTGTTTCCTTTCAGCGGTAAGCAGAAACCACTTAAGATGTGTACCAGCTCCGGCACCCACCTCCCACGCGCCCCCATCACAGCCACTGGGTGTGCAGGCCTTGCTCCTCATGGAAATAGCCAGCCTCAGGCAGGTGTCCTCTCTGGACTTTCCAGGCCAAGCTTTGGGACTTTGCTGGCCTCCTCCTCAGCCGCCCAGCTCCAGCGGGCACAATACCACATCTGGAATCTTGGGATTTTCCCCTCCACCAGCCAGGACCCTCCCCTCTCCTCCAGCTTGGAGGCCACATCTGGTTTGTCAACTCGAGTCTCAGTGGGGAGTACACCTTGCACATTCATGGACACTGTCCTTTGAATGGGCCAGTCGTGGCCACTGCCTCAAATGCCCCAGGCAGTCATTTCCTGCTCATCTTGGAAAGGGCTGAGTCCTGCACTGGCAGGGCTCCCGGGGGCACTGGGTCAGCCCACACACGGCCTCTCTGCTGCCAGTTATGCCTCAGGGCCATGACATTCCCCAGCGCTGCCTCCAGACACCAGGTCAGGAATGCCTTCTGTCCCAGCATGACAGGGCCCACTCCTGCCCAAGGCCCTCCTTCCTCTACCTAAAGGTGTCCTATGTGAAGAGGGATAGAGGGTAGGAGCCATCCATCTGAACTTTCAAAAAGGTCTTTACTGAGAAAAGAAATAAATCCAGACACTCCAAAGCATAAAATGGGCCAGTTTTAGAAGGCTGGACTTCTGACCCTAATATGTCAGAGAAAGAACAACCACTTTTTCAACACCATGTCAGGTGTTTTTTTGTTTTTAAGATTTTTTTTGATGTGGACCGTTTTTAAAGTCTTTATTGAATTTGTTACAATATTGCTTCTGTTTTATGTTTTGGATTTTTGGCTGTGAGGCATGTGGGATCTTAGCTCCCAGACCAGGGATCGAACTCTCACCCCCTGCATTGGGAGGCAAAGTCCTAACAACTGGACCACCAGGGAAGTCCCTTGCCAGGTGTTTTCTGTTTATTATGGCATTTAATTCTTAGACTGCTGTGAGGTGGGCAGTAATTCCACCCATTTTACAGGTGTAGAAACTAAGCATGTGGTTGACTCTTACTTGGCCCTGCTTGGGCCTCCCAGACCCTGTCCCAGGGGCTCCCACTCTTGCACAATTGATTGAGAAACATCAGTGGCCATCCCCTCAACCCATCCTGTGTTCACGGCCCAAGGCACACATCTGGATCTCTACTCACAATGATCCCGAGCCAAAGGGGTGGGTAGGGAGACCAGTTTCTGGGGTTTTAGCAGAGAGAGCTCGTGCCTACCTTAGAGTTTTTGGGAAACACACTGAAAAGGGACATGTATGTGGAGGTCACAGTGAAAGGATTCAGTCAAGTAACACTTGGGACCTCAGACCAGGGAGAAGGTCTAGACCAGTGTCATCTGATACAAATATAGCACAACCGTGATTTAAGTTTTCTAGGAGCCAATTAAAAAAGTAAAAAGAAACAGATGAAATTAATTTCATTAATGTATTTAATTTAACCTAATATACCTAACATATTATTTTCTACCCTTGTAATCAATGTAAAACTTATCAATAAAATATATTAATTGATTTTTCCATACTAAGTTTCACAGCAGATCTCATTTCAGACCGACCACATTTCAAGGGCTTAATAGCCACTTAATAGCTAGTGGCTGCTGTGTTGGACAGCACAGGTCTAGAAATATCCAAATTTTAGCAATAGGAGGGGTGCAGGGAAGAGCCAGCCAGAAGCTAAGCATCAAAGAGAAAGGAGGAGAGAGAAAGGGGGGATTCTCTTTGGAATTCAGGGTCTAAGGGCAGAGCCCAAGATACAGTGAGGAACTGCCTGGAAGAGGGCATGAAAGGAGAGAGGGGAGAGGGTGGGAAGGGCTGTGGGAGGAACCTCGGGGGCTGCTGTAGTGGCGGCCAAGAGCCAGGCGGGGGCAGAAGAGAGCTTCTCTGTGACCAGCCTGGAGGCTGATCCAGACGCCGAGGGAAGGAAGGTGGACTAGGTGCCTTTCACCAGGCCAGCTATGGTGGTAGCCTGGGGCTTCCGAACCAGAGGCTGTGGATGGAGACCCGCGACCACTAGGCTGATCCTGGTGTCCTCTGCACATTCTGTAGAGCTAAAGGGAAGTGGGTACCAGGCCCCTTCAGTGGGAAGGCCCGCCTGCCTGGGGCTGGGCCTGGACTCTGGCCTGGGACAGGGAAGGAAAGGAGGCTGAGCTGTAAGGCGATTGTGGAAAAGGGAGAGAGTTCTTCCAGTACTTTAGTCTTAAGTAATGGCAACGACGCTTATGCGATAGAAAGAATACCATTCTTTTAACTGGCTTGTGGGACCCAAAGCAAGGTTAAGACATTTAAAGGCTCTAAGTCCCAAAGATAGCAGGGCAACCCCTCCCCCAATACACCACCATGAAAAAAGTTTCAGGAGCAAAGTTTCAAGTTTTCATTTTTGAAATATCAAATTCCTTCCAAAATCAATTGGTGGTGAGGTATGGGGGAGGGGTGTGGCATGCATCAGCTCTGATGGGCCCTTCCTAGGCCTTGGTGAGGAAAGGTGCAAACCAGATGACCTCTAAAATTCTAGGTGGAGGGTGCTGGGCGGAGAAGACAAAGCCTCAGAGTGCAAGGCGCCTTCTTGAAAAGTCACGAGGCAGCAGCCATCCTGCCCAGACAGCTCTGTGGGTATGCGGAGCTGAGCCTCCTGGTGTGGCCCAGGTGTCCTGAGGGAAGGAGGGACTGAGGGGCAGGTTAGCTCATCCCCTTGGCCATCCTCAAACACAGAGATGAGAAAGACAGGTGGAATTTGAGACCAATACTGGTCATTCTTTCATCCCCCGACCCATTCACACACAGCATCAGGAGAGCCTGGGCCCTGGGAGAGGCAGGCTGCCCTTCTCCAAACCAGCGCACAGAGGCCCACCTCACCCTAGCGGCTGTGACCGTGCATTGCACGGATGAACTTACCCAGCTCATTCTCTTACTGCTCTACATTTATGTTTCTTAGGTTGTTAGCTATTACAAATAATGTTGGAATTTTGCATCTTTTGACCACTTGTGAAAATATTTCTGTATCATAATATTCCCAACTAGATCAAAGAGGAGTATTTTTAAATTGACTGATAGGTGTTTTCCAAAAAGGTTAGAGCAAATTGCACTCGCATAAAGAGTATGTGGGGCTTCCCTGGTGGTACAGTGGTTAAGAATCTGCCTGCCAATGCAGGGGACACGGGTTCGAGGCCTGGTCCGGGAAGATCCCACATGCCGCGGAACTAAGCCCGTGCGCCACAGCTACTGAGCCTGCGCTCTAGAGCCCACAAGCCACAACTACTGATCCCGAGTGCCACAACTACTGAAGCCCGCGTGCCTAGAGCCCGTGCTCTGCAACAAGAGAAGCCACTGTAATGAGAAGCCCACGCACTGCAATGAAGAGTAGCCCCCGCTCGCCGCAACCGGAGAAAAGCCTGCGCACAGTAACAAAGACCCAACGCAGCCAAAAAAAAAAAAAAAAAGAGTATATGAATGCCCCTCAGCCTTGCCGTTTAGAGGCATGTAAAATTTTGCATATCCTTGAGAAGAAACATAAGTTATTATTGTTTTAATTTATCAGTGAGCTTGAATATCTGTTTATCATTTATGAACTTTTCTTTCTTGATCAATCATTAAACTTTTTAAAAATTGTGATTTTTTACCTTTCAGAGGTTTTTCATTTTTATTAGTTAGCTCTGTCAACTTTTTCCTTTACACTTTCGGATTTCATGTCATGCTTAGCATTTTATAAGAAAAAGGCAAGTTGCAGAAAACTGTGAATAGAATTACCTCACCTTTAGTAAAAAAAAAAAAAGCAAGTATATGTATATTCAGTTATATGTACTTAAATGACTTTTTACACAGAAATATCTGGAATGACATATTTTAAGTCAGTGGTTCCCAAATTGAGCGAGTATAAGAATCACCTGGAAGGCTTGTTACAATACAGGACACTGGGCCCCATCCCCAGCATTCCTGATTCAGCAGGTCTACAGGGGGGGCCCAAGAATTTGTATTCCTAACAAGTTCCCAGGTGAAGGTGTCGCTGCTGGCCCACTGAGGACACTTTGAGCACTGCTGTTCTCATCTAGTAAGAGCAGTTATCCATGGGAAGTGGGAGTGAAGTGTTTTGGTTTTTTTACTTTATTCACTTCTGTAAGAAGCAAGAATTTCTTCGATATTTAAGGGGAAAAAAATAAGAACTTGAAAGACTTGCATGTGAAAACACAAACAAGTACAGTGTTTTACACAAATGTAATGCATTATTACCAGGCACTTTGTAGGGGACACATTGAAGATTCATCTCTGCTTGCCATGCACTAGTGTTGTGATTGGTTTAAGGGCCTGATTCATACCACTGGAATTTGATTTAGAAATGTACTGTGCTCAGAAAGCTACACAAGTAATCATTGAGGAGTAGAGGAAGGGCTTGTGCCCAGAGAGGGTGTAAAGGAGAGGAGGTGGGAGGACGGGGTACAGGAAGAGTAGGACAAAGCTCCAGGGGTGGCCTAGGTTGGGGACTGTGTGTCTGAGTTTTGGAGTCAGACAGGTCTGGGCTCAAATCCTGGCTTTGGGCATCTCACTTACTCTCTGAGTCTCAATTTCCTCATCCTTGAAATGTGGATATTAAAACACTTAGCGCTTTGCCTCAGTAAGCAGAATACTGGAAACCTTTGCTCCCACTGGCCACGTGAGAAGCCCAAATGGTCCAGCCCACCTGGCCTGCCTTACTCAGGTGAAGCTTCTCCTCCCACCATCACAGCAGCCCTGGTTTAGGACGTAGCCCATAAGAGAAGACCCCAGGTCGCTCTGGCCAGGAGCTGTGTGGGGCTCCCACAAAGGTGGGTTTCAGGTTCTTGGTTTTCAGCAAGCAGAAGGAGGGCTCTACATACCCCAAAGGAGATGTAGGCGTCCAGCAGGCTGCCGGCAATGGTGGCGTAGCCTCTGGTCATGACAACGTGGATTTCAGAGAGTGTCATGTCTGCCAAGTAGGGCCGGATCAGTAGAGGAGCCTCAGTCTGCAAACGGGAAAGATGTCAAACAAGCAGCGCTGGTCAGGCTAGCACGGGCACTTGGGGCGTACCCCCTCCACCTGGGAGTGAGCAGGTCACAGTGAGGGCTGGGGACCCCAGGGGAAGAGACAGCAGGGTGGGGTGAGGACCAGAGTCTGTACTTGGCTGAGCCTCTCTGAACCTCAGCATCAGCCCAGCTCTGTGGAAGGACCCCCAGCCCTTCCTTTGGGCCTGATAACGCTCCCCTGTGTCAAGTGCCTCCCACGTCCAGGCACCCAGCTAAGCCCCTCACACTCATCACTTACAACCTTCTAGGAAAGAAGTGGTCGTCTCCACGTTCCAGGAGAGCAGAAGGTCAGAGAGGTTCAAAGAATTACCTCTGTTCGTGCAAAGGACCAGAAGCAGATGTAACTCCAAGCCTGAACGTTTAGTGAAGCCATGGGAGTTGCCAGAAAGAAAGGAACTGGGGCATTCGATGGCGTGTTTAGTTCAGGGCACGTGGGGAAGCCTGGAGCCATTTGTTTATTCATTCAATAAATAATTATAGTACATACTATGTTCTAGACTGTGCTATGGAATAGGGATAGAGATGGGGGAGGTGGAGGGCAGATGGACAAGGCAGGGTAAGCAGTGGATCTCAGCAGGCAGAGGCATGATCTGACTTGGGTTTTTAAAGGGTCACTCCAGGGGCTTCCCTGTCTGTCCAGTGGTTAAGACTCTGCGCTTCCAATGCAGGGGCGCAGGTTCGATCCCTAGCTGGGGAATTAAGATCTCACATGCTGGGCTTCTCTGGTGGTGCAGTGGTTAAGAATCCGCCTGCCAGTGCAGGGGACACGGGTTCGAGCCCTGGTCCGGGAAGATCCCACGTGCCACGGAGCAACTAAGCCCATGTGCCACAACTACGGAGCCTGTGCTCTCGAGCCCATGAGCCACAACTACTGAACCCCCGTGCCACAACTACTGAAGCCCACATGCCTAGAGCCCATGCTCCGCAGCAAGAGAAGCTACCACAATGAGAAGCTCACGCACCACACCAAAGAGTAGACCCTGCTCGCTGCAACTAGAGAAAGCTGCACACAGCAATGAAGACCCAAAGTAGCCAAAAATAAATAAATTAAAAAAAAAAAAAAAGATCCCACATGCCACACGGCCAAAAAATAAATAAATAAATAAATAAATAAATAAATAAATAAAGGGCTACTCCAGCCTGTGTGTGAAGGATGGGTAGGGGCAGCAATGGTGGCAGGGAGAACAGAGAGGAGGTGATTGTCGTGTCCAGGTGAGAGACAAGTGTGGCTCATAGCAAAAAAAAGAAAAAGGGCAGCAGGGCAGGTCTGTGATGTGATGTGGGGCAGAGCTGGCAGGACTTGCTGATGGACTGGGTGCAGCTGGGAGCAAGGGAAGCAAAGGAAGGAAGGATGACTCCTCGATTTTTGTCTAACAACCTCATTGAAGACGTTGCCATTTACTGAGAAGGGAAACTCTTGGAGATGTGCATGTGTGTTGAGGGAGGGAATCAAGGGTTCTGCTTGTTTGGACTTGCCTAGTAAATTATCTAAGGATATCCAAGTGGAGGGTCAAGGGGGCAGTTGGATATATATCAGACTGGAGTTTAGGGGAGAGGAGGTATTTAAGCCATGGGGCTGGGGCAATCCCCTGGGGACAGACTGTGGCCAGAGAAGGGAATAGGGCCCAGGCCTGCCAACACTGAGCTTGAAATGATACCACTAATCCTTGAAGGCTCCCCGTCCCCGCAAAACTTAATTCGCCTTTGGAGCTCTTCCGGTTATCGTGTCATATTCACCTAAGATTTGTCTTTTCTCAGCAAAAACCATTGATTACATTTGCAGCATTTTATATAAAATAAATGCTGATACTGAAATATCTTTTTCTGTTTTGCCTCATTTTGAACAACTAAGGGATTTTGGACTATTTATCTCAGAGCACACCTGTCTTAATTGGCTTAAAAAAAAAAAAAAACCTTTGAAATCTACACACTTGCATCATAGCAAAAAAGATGCAAATATTCTCCAAAGTTTCCTAAACTGCCCAGTGAAATATGGCATACTTTGGCAAGTATTTTTTTTTGTGACTTACATGTTGGGCAGGTGGGCCAGGATTCTGGAACAGTCACCAGAGTCTTACCCCTAGGAGGGTCTGGCCTTCTGAAAGGGACTCAGGACTGATAGTCCCTTCAGAGTCACACTTATATTGGAAAATACATTTTCAGAAAGAGGGAGGGGAAAAAAAGACAAACTGATGTTGTGGAAGGAACCCTGTCCAGGAAGAAGAAGACTTGGATTCTAAGTCCTGGCTTATGTTGTGGGATCTTGGCAAGGCATTCCCAGCCCCGAGCCTCAGTTTCTGCATGTATAAAAGGAGAACACTGGACTCCATCTGTAGGACTTATGAGTCTCTAAGCTGATGAAGACAGCCTAGGCCTAGAGTGGTAGGAGGTGCCAGGGAGATACTATCCTCCTTGGCATGACCCAGGCAAGGAGTATATCCCCAAATGGAGCATCCCTAGGGCAGCAGCCTTTGGTGACCCTGGGAGAAGGTTTGATTGGCTCTTCTGCTGACTGAATCAGAGCTCTAGGGACCCAGGCCACCCACCCTCCTTGAGGGAAGGAGGCTGCAATACTGACCTGGCTCACAAAGATGTTCCAAGCCACACTCAGGGTCTTCGTGGCCATGGGGCCCATGGTGGCCTGCATCAGCCAGGAGATCTAGAAGGAAGCAGGGTGCTCCTTGTGGATTGGTATCAGCAAGCCCCAGGGACAGAGAGAGTCAGGGGTGGAAGTACCTTAAAAGTCTTCCTTCCAACTCCCAATCCAGGTAGAACTCCCTTACCTACGTTTCCCCAAAGGTCCATTCATCTTCTCCTTCCTCACCTCCATTGATGGGGGCTTATCATCCATGAAAAAAGGATTCCCTGGTCAAATATATTTGAGAATTGCTGTACACACACACCTTGGAGATGACCAATACTTACCAGTTTATTAAAGGCTCTGAGAAGTCCTGCACAAAACTTGTTTAAATTTGTAGCCTGGTGTCTAGCTTAGCTTCATAAAATTATTTGACCAAGGGACTTCCTTAGCGGTCCAGTGGTTAAGACTCTGCGCTTCTACTGTAGGGGGCGCGGATTTGATACCTGGTTGGGCCATATGGCACGGCCAAAATTAAAATAAATTAAATAATTTGACCATGGGATCCCTTTACCTAGTAGCATTTATTAACTTGCTGTGAAACTAGAGTTTTGTGAAAGGCTTTGGGAAACACTGTATTAAAAAGTTCTTTCTTTTAATCAACATGAAATCTGCTTCCATGGAATTTCTCTCCATTGCAGGTACCTCTCAGGCTGCCTTTTCCCTAACCTTCTATAAGTATTTAGAATCCTACCCGTAACCTTCTTCACCCTGGCCTTCTCTTTTTCGGCCCTTCATCCCTACTTCCTTCAGCCATTCTATGGAATGTATGGTCTCAGGCCCTTTCAAACTGAACCCACTGATAGTTCAGTTTGTCATAGCCCCTTGGTTGAACACATTCTCCAGATTTGGGGATAACTGTCTCCCTTACGCCATGCACTGTGCACTCTTAACATAACCACAGGCTGCACTTCTGGAAGCTGCCTGATGATACTGGTTTATTCTGAGCTCAATCAGCTAAAAACCTCAGAATCTCTTGTCCAGTGCTGTCTGTCTCCTGCATCCTGGTTTTATGCAGCAGATTTTATGAACATAAGCACAGGATTTGACATTTATATCAGCTAAGTCTGGCCCACGTGACCCACTGCTCTCAAGATCGTTTTGGTATAAATTATTTTTTCCCCTAACACTTCTCCTCAATGCAGCTCCAGTTCTGTAAACTTCCCTCCCCCAAAGACCCCACTGGATTTTGGTGCCATTTCTCCTTAGTAGCATGACAAGAGACTCTGTGAAAAGTTGTTTGGTTGGTTGTAGACTCTGAGAGAAGGCTGGGGAGCAGGGGATGCTGGAAGGTCCAGGCCCTCAGAGCAGGGGATTTGGGGAGGGTGTGGGCTTGGGAGCAAGGCATTCTGGGAGATTGTGGTTCCTGTCAGCCTGTGATTCTGGGAGGGCCCGGGCTGGGACCTTGAGAACTCACCTTCAGGATCACCCACTGCATGAGGCTCACATAGTAGAGAACGGACATGGCACAGATGAAGAAAACAATGATGGGCAAAACCTGCCAGCAAAGAGCACAGACCCTGGGGTTAGAGGCAGAGAGGTGGCAGGGTACCACGCAGGGCCTCAGAGGCCCCAGACAGCCACTTCATCCAAGGGCCTGCCACTCAGAGACCCAACGGGGTCAGGGTAGAAGCTCTGAATTCAGTGCATGAAATTGCATATGGGGCCTCTCTGGAGGCAGCTGTCTGATCTGTTCCCCTCTAAACATTGACCATCCACCCAGGCATCCCTTGGGCTGTGGTAGAGAAGCAGGACTTGAGTCCACCACTTTTTATCACCTGCTTCTTTGTCTGTAAAATGGGGAGGAAGTGACTACCCCTCAGGTTGTTGTGAGGGTTTTGGGAGTTGGCTCAGGGCCCAGCACCTTCCTAGCACAGGGTCTTTCCTCCACCCTGAGCTCAATTGGCCCATGACGCTGGCCTTAACCTCCCTCCTGTGCTTCGGGCCTGAATCAGAGGCCCTCATCTTTCTAGTGTTCTACTTCCACTCAGTGCCAGTGAGCTCCGAATGACACTCACTGTGGACCAGCCATCTGCATTTCCTCCTGTCACCCTCTTTCCTATTACCAGGCTTATGACTGCCTTTCACTTACTCCAAGCCCCTTCAATTTCTCCTTCAAAGCTTCCTCATGTCCATTTCCTTCTCCCCAGGGCCTCCCCCTCCCTGCCCCGCACTTCCTTGTTACAGCCTGACTTAGAATAACAAGGATTGGCAACAACTTAAATGTCCCTCAGTGGAGGACTAGTTTGATAACCTATGGTGTGGCTGTGCAGTGGTGCACTCAAAGTCAGGAAACAAGAGTGAGGAACTCACTATGACTAGTTTGGGGATGATTTTCAAGATAGATTGTTAAATGAAAAAAGAGGGCTTCCCTGGTGGCACAGTGGTTGAGAATCCGCCTGTCACTGCAGGGGACACGGGTTTGAGCTCTGGTCCAGGAAAATCCCACATGCTGCGGAGCAATTAAGCCCATGTGCCACAACTACTGAGCCTGCACTCTAGAGCCCACGTGCCACAACTACTGAAACCCACACGCCTAGAGCCCGTGCTCCGCAACAAGAGAAGCCACCATAATGAGAAGCCCGCACACTGCAATGAAAAGTAGCCCCTGCTCGCCACAACTAGAGAAAGCCCGCGTGCAGCAACAAAGACCCAGCTCAGCCAAATAAATAAATTAATTTAAAAAATTTTTAAATAAATGAAAAAAGAGAAGGTGTAGAACAGGGTGCATGGTGTGCTACTTTATGAGTAAAAAAGGTGCGGGTGGCATTGCAGGTGCTCTTGTGTGGGCACAGATATCCTTAGACAGATATGCAAATGACCAGGAATGGCAGCTGCCTTGGGGAAGGAACTGGATGACTTGGGGATCAGGGGTGGGAGGGAGATTTACTTTTTACCAAATCCCCTTTTGTACAGTTGGAATGTGCTATCTGTTCCAAATAGCTTTAAAATAATAAGTTATGCAGAATTAGTAATAACATGGGAGCATTCTTATGCTAGAATGTTAAGTGGGGAAGATGGAATATTAAAAGCACAGAAGGAAGGCTGGGAGGCATACACCCAAATAGTCAAGGTAGCTGCTTCTGTGTGCTGGGACTGTGGAAACTTTGTTTTCTTCTTTCTCCATTTCTAATTTCTCACCTGCTCCTATAATTTTCTATAAGAGGTGGACACTTCTCAAGGGAGGGGAGCACGGGCACAGGAGAGCTTTGGGGGCACCTCAGCAGCGCAGTTTTGGACTTGCTGGGTTTGAGATGCCTGTGGGTTTGAGTGGACTGTGGACTGGGAAGGTGGGCAGAAGGGCCGGCAGCTCTGAGGAGAGATCTGGGCCAGGGCTCGGTTGAGGGCAGATTGAAGCCACGGGGCAGATGCAGTTCACTGAGGAAATTGCCCTGGAAGAGAAGAGCAGTGGCTGAGGACAGGGCCCTGGGGTCAGCATCCCTGAAGGGTGAGAGAAGGAGGAGGAGCGCGTGGTGGAGACAAAGAAGAAACCGAGTGGTTGAAGGACTTCCAGGAAGGGGTGCGATGGAAATTGAGGGCAGCTTTTCTAGAAGGGATGGTCCATCAGCTGTGCCAGATGCATCAGAGAACTCAGTAAGGACTGAGATGGATGCTTGGCACCTAGCGATTCAGGGCTCCCTGGTGACCTAGGTGAGAGCAGTGTCAGGAGGGATGGGCACAGAGGCCGGGTATCAGCGAACCAAGGAGGGAGTGGGACATGAGGAAGTATAGAGACAACAGGAGAAGCTTAGCTGTGCTGGAAGGAAGAGGGGCTGCCGAGAGGGGTGAGGGGTGGAGGAAGAGTTGTTTTCATTGTGCAGAAGGAGAGTGTAGAGCAATCAAGTTCAAGCTCTGGTTCAAAATGAATCGGGACTACAGAGTGGTCCCTGATGAGAACAGAGACTCTGCCTAGGCAGCTCCCCTGGAGAAGAGAAACAAGCCCTGCTGAGGTTGTTTTCCCTTTCCCGTCCCAGATGAATGCCGTGCGTTCTGTCTGGATCTGCTCCACTTGACATCCCTGTCACCAGCTTCACTGCATGGGAGTGTCACCTGACAGGGAATGCAGGCACTGGGTGGAGCGACCCTCTTCCTGCCCTGTGACTCCCCAGGGCCGCCTGGTGCTGGACACACCCCCCAACACGAGGGTGGTAACAGCATCCTGCTCTCCCTGGGAGAAGAATGCAGAGAGGATCACGTACTGTCTAGACTGCCTGTTCAATTTATCACGCGAGGGACCACTCGGCAGCCTGGCAGGTTAGCACAGATGGCTCAGACCAGCAAGGAGAGGGCCTGGGGCAGCGGAACCCGACTGCAGAATTGGGACTTTCTCCTGGCAGCAACCAAGAGATATTTTCTAGCTGGGAGATGGGGATCTTTGGTGGAAGAGAAGCTGGGACATTTAATACTAAATAAGGGCCCTGAGGCCAATATGATCTGACAGTCCAGGAAATACCCTTGGGCCCTGTAGCATGTGAGATGGCGGAAGACAGGGCAGGCAGCTGGCTGTGGGAAGAGGGAGGAAAGTGCCATTAATTCCTACCGCTCGTGCACTGTGCAGTCCTGCTAGGAGCCAGGTACGCAACATGTGGTGACTCACGGATCCTCAAAGCAACTGAGGTTGGTGTAAATCCACTTCACAGTGGGGACACTGAGGCTGTGAGATGTTGGTTACCTGCCCAAGGTTACACACCTGCAAAGAGACAACCACTAAGCAGGTTGCCAAGGACCTACCATGACCCTGAGGAGGTTTGCCCTAGTGCCAGTCCTGGAACCTCATTTCTTTGTCTTTAGGAGAGGCATCCCCTCCCAGGCAGAGCCTCAGCCCGGGGTGTAGCAGCCTCGAGTAAGTCCTGACTACCACTTTGTGGAAACTCAGAGCAGGCCGGTCCTGCTAGTACCAGCACTCACCCTTACTCAAGGGAAAAGGAAAGTATAGCGCCTCTAAGCCAGTGGTTCCCAAAGGGTGGTCCCTGACCAGCAGCATCACCTGAGAATTTGTCAGAAATGCACATTCTGAGCCCCACCCCCAGGGTTTCAGATTCAGTAGATCTGGGGTGCACCTGAGAGTTTGTCCTTTCCCGATGCTGGTATGTGGACACCACACTCTAAGAACCACTGCTGTAGAGTCTAGACCAGACTCTCCAAGCAGACACCATCTTCTTCCCAGGAAACAGGCTCTGAAGGCAGGGCTAAACCCACTCAGGGCCTGGTCCTGCCGCTTCCTCTCTATGGAGGGAGTTGAGCCAGGGCTGCTGACGCCCTCCTAAGGCTGTCCCAACAGCTCCCAAACCCCCAGCCCCCAAGGCCTAAGCCCTGTCACTAGCCCCAGGCCACAGTAAACAAAAATACCCAAAGCTGGAAAATTCCTCGGAGGACACTGCTGCAATGTCCACCGACCTTGCAGAAGGAGGAAGGGACTTACTCCAAGGCCACATAAACTGCGCATGTCTCCTGATTTCCTGCTTATGCCATTCCCTTCACCCAGAATGACCTCACCAGTCTGCCCCCATGCCTATCTATCTCTGCCTGTCAAAGTCTCCTTCAGAGGCCTCTGCAGATGCCACATTCTCACAAGATCTCTCCAGTTCCATCATCCCATCCCCCTCCTTTCAGCACCCACCCCGCCTCCACTTCCCTTCCATTCCCTCCTCTGGAAATCACGCTCACTACAGTTACCAGTGACCCCTTAATGACTAAATCCAATGGCACCTGTCAGTTCTTATCTTACTTGATGTGTTTTTTTTCTGGCCAAATTTGGTGCTGATGACCACTGGGGACTGCAGAGGCTGCATCAGGCAGACACCCCGAAACCCTTGGGAGATGAAAACACTTTCTGCCTAGGGGTTCCTCGGGGAGAACATTTCATCAGCACTGCTGAGCTTCGTGAGTGGGTGCGTGTTCCAGAGGCTGGAGTGATAGTGAAGGAACGAGTGAGCGAGTGAGCATGTGCTCCCAGGTCGGCCAGACCCAGGAAGGTGCGGGAGTGTGGGGGGGGAGGCGATCGTGTGGGTGGAAAGTTACTAGAAGGGAGATGGAGCCAAGGTGGAATGACTAATCGAGACCATACAGCCAGGAGGTGGCTGCCACGTCGACCGTGCCAGAGGACATTGAGGGCTGAAAGAGTCCCAGGGAGATTCAGCTTCCTGGAGGAGCAATGAGCTGGACCGTGGCCCAGCAGGAAGCAGCTTGGATTCTGAAAATCTGAGTGAGCTCAGAGATTTCCCCAGGCTGACATGGGCCAAAGACCTTGGACTAGGGCCACATGATTCATGGAAAGGACGGAAAGAAAACTCTTGAGTCTTCCATTCGACTCAGCACTAACAAAGTTACCCCCAGCTTGAGGATAAGCCCCAAGCTCGGCAAGTGTGTGTGTGTGTGTGTGTGTGTGTGTGTGTGTGTG